GTATGTACATGGTTATATGTTCTTTTCCGTGGTTATTTTTATAAGTGTGTGGTGTTGAGTGTACGTACGTTTATGTATACATGCAAATGATTATGTATGTAAATAATTATTCACGTATGTGTATGAATTATTTAGGTATGCTTATGTAAACATATGCCTATGAATGCATTTATGCGAGTCAGAAAAAAATATGTCTATGAGTATATACATAAACACGCACATGTGGGTGGTCGTGTGTACATATACGTATGTGTGTATTTCCAGTTAGCGATCTAAAGAGAGCGAGAGCACGGCATTGCGCGGAAGAAATCTGATTACCTACAGAGCGAGCGGCTTTCTGCTAAACAACTGTCCTTCGTAAATCTGATTAGGGTTGCAAAAGAGGAGAAAATAATCCCATACAATGTATAGACACATATGGAGTCTGTCTATCTACCTACCTACCTACACACATAGATGTATATATATATACATATATACATACATATATACATATATATATATATATATATATATATATATATATATATATATATATATTATATATACTCAAACACGGTGGGTATACGGGTATATATATTATATACATCCTACACACCACACACCACCACACACACAACACACACAACACACAGGTTCGAACAGCACACACACACAACACATACACATACACTCGGACACATATATATACACATAGGATATAAATTATAGGATATATATATATATATATATAATTATATATATATATATGTTCTATATATATGCCATATATAGATTTATTGTGTGTATATATCTATATACTATATTCATATCTTATCTAATCTATCCTATCTATCTTCATCTATCTATAATATGTGTGTTGTGTGTGTAAGCGTGTGTCTAAACACGGGCACGGTGAGACAAGTGAAGAAAGCGAGGAAGGTCAGGTCAGGTGTCGAAGGTCAGGCGATTATCCGAAGGGTATTTGGCATAATGGCGAAGGAGAGGATAAAACGGGAAGCTGAGCTGACTTGTCGCAGGGAGAAAATCGCCGCGCGTTCAAATTAGAAATTAAAACAATTAAAAATCTAGCAGCTTGATTAAGGAAGATTCCACCAGCCCTGCGGCAATGGCACCAGCGGAGGGAAAAGCACAGCGCACACGCTGAACAATGCCCATACTGATGTCGCCCTGTGTCCCACGTGCATGGCAGAGGAGGGCGTTTGCATGTTGCGTCACATCAGAATACAGCGTCTTTATGCTGAGACAGACGCATAGTGATACTTGTCTCGTCAAATAAAAATACTTGCGTATCACAGGAGTCGGCACATATGAATATATTCACGTACATAAGGCACCAAGTTTATGTATTGTGAATTTTTCTAACACATATGTATGTATATATTCACGTCATAAGGCACCAAGTTAATGTATTTGTGATTTTTTCTAACACATATGTATGTATATATTCATCGTACATGTAAGGTCCCAAAGTTAATGTATTGCTCGAATTTTTCTAACCTATTATGTTGAATATATTTCACGTACATAAGGCAACCAAGTTTAGTACTGTGAATCTAACACATATGTATTATAGTATTTCACGTCAATAAGGCACCCAAGTAATTGTATTGTGATTTTTAATCACATATGTATGAATATATACACCAGTACATCAGGCACCCAAAGTTTATGTACTGTGAATTTCTACACATATGTATGGTATCAAGATACTTCACTGTATCATAAGGCACCAAGTTAATGTATTGTGAATTTTCTAACCCATATGTATGTATATATTCAGCACATAGCATGAACTGCAAAACAACCCTTGTCTAGTTCAAAACACTCTTCGCAGGTAAGTAAAAAGAAAAACTAAAGTCGATTAAAGGATCTACACAGAAAGTATGAAAGGTCCATTTCGTCTCTTAGGAGGCGGTAAACATTCCTTGAGAATAAATAGATAATTAAGACTCCAGGAAAGACGGGCGCTCGAGGAGAGTCTGAGATTTAGGAATCGAAGGATCGAGAGAGAGAGAGAGAGAGAGAGAGAGAGAGAGAGAGAGAGAGAGCGAGAGAGAGAGAGAGAGAGGAGAGAGAAGAGAGAGAGAGAGACGAGAGAGAGAGAGCCAGAAGAGAGAAGAGAGAGAGAAAGGAAAGGGAGGGAGGGAGGTTCAGACAGACAGGAAAGGAAAGATATTAGTAAATATCACATACACACACACACACACACA